CCCCCACCACGTCGACCCCAGCTACGGGGACTACGACCGGAACTACTTCCGCGGCGGCCTCCCACACCCGCGGGAGTACTCCCGCGGGCATGAGGGCGAGGCCCTGGTTATCCAGCTTGAGCAAGAGATCCGCGCCGTGCAGGGGGAGCGCTCGCGCTATACCTATTCGATGAATCAATTAGAGCGCGAGCGACAGCGATTCGAGGTGTACAAAATGGACACCCAACAGCAACTCAAGGACGAGCGTGCAAACCTTGCCGCCCTCCGCTCTCAGGATCAACGCGATGCTCGTAAGGAGGTCAGTTCCATCGACGAGCGGTACAAGAATGTCACCTCACTTCTCTCTGCAGAGCGTGAGACAAATAAACGACTTCTCCAAGAAAAAGAATCTCTCCACGCTCAGCTTGAGGAGCTAACCTCCGCAATGCGAGAATCTCAGGCGGCTCACCGAGCAGAGGTCGCACGCATGCGCCGGGATATAGATTCGCTCACCCGTCGTAATTTCGAGTTGTTAGCAATGACAAAGGAAGAACAGATCAACCATTTAGTGATGACTTCGCAGCCTTCCCCTAAAAAAGTCACGTCCATCAATGAGCTAAGGCCCACCGCCCGGGACATTGACGCGGAACCCCCTATTACCGCTGCTCTTCCCAGGATATTATCCGACAAATCCATTGATGCACCGGTCGCCATAGAAAACGAGGATAACCACTCCACACACAGCAGCGATGCTCAGGCAAAACTAGCCCAACACGTAGTCTTCGACTTTACACCGCAAAACTCCAAAACCGCTGCACGCCAGCGGCGGGCTAAGGCGGTGGAAGAGCGCATGCAACGCGAGGAGGAGGAGCGACAACAACGTCGTTTACTGCGTGAGCAGGAGGAGGCACTTTCACGCTCGCGTGAGGAGGCTGAGGCGCGTAAGGCGAAGGAGGCCGAGGCGCGTAAGATAAAGGAGGCCTCTGCGGCGCATAATGCGCAAGAGGGACAAACAGGTTTGTTAAACAAAAAGCAAGGTGAAAAAGCCGAGCGGCGCACCACACAAACCATTATACAGCCACCAGAGGATGCCCTAAAGGAGCGCAAGGTCGCTGAGCACCCCTTGCGCACTCCTCGGGTAATGGGACGTGGCAAAAATACCCCTACTTCGAAACCAGAGGTCGCGTCGCTGAATTTAAAACCCCACATTCCTACCAGGAAGGAGCTTCTCCAGGAGGTGGAGCCAGCGCCTGAGGAGGCCTATCCGGATGACAAGATCCTCTCCGAGACATCGCAAGCCGGTAGTCCTAACAAGCGTGAGGTCACTTACTCCAGCGGCAAGAAGGAAATTCATTATGCAAATGGCACTGTCAAAGTAATATTGCCTTCACAGCATGTCATTTTGCACTTCACGAATGGTGACATTAAGTGTACCTTCCCGTCTGGTAAAAGCACCTATTGGTACGATAGTGCGCAGACCACGCACACCCAACTTCCCACAGGCGTGCAGCTATTCGAATTCTGCGCCACTGGGCAAAGCGAACGCCACATGTCAGACGGCACCAAGGAAATAGTCTATCCCGATGGGGTGTATAAGATTGTTCACGCGGATGGATCCGATGAGACATATCTGCCAGATGAATCGTAGCTGGGAAGCACGACCGCGTTATGCGTATTCATGGAATCGAGGGGCGATTTGCATACCCGACACCTCTTTCTCTGTACTCCTTTTCATCAATTAAGTTTATATGAGCAGGTTTATTCCTAAGATTGCACTTGCATATGCTTGAACGAGAGCGGATGCCCTTTTATTATTATTATTATTTTCAGGACGTGCAATTGCTGGTAATGTTTTCAAAATTCAATCCTCTAACTGACATTCAACCCTTCCTAAATAAAATACTATTGCGTGCTTCTCCTTTGGTTGCATTTTTTAGGTTGAACTTTTCAGCTTGTATGGACCATCTCTTTACCACGGATGTGGAAGTGAACATTTATGGTGTTCAGACCTTCACCAACATAATCTTCCATTTCGTTTGCCCCTTAACCTTTTCAGTTTGCTTTTCCTTTAAATCCCAAAATCGTGTCCTTTCGCCGAAAGATATGTCTTAGAGTATAGATATGTAAAGAGGAGGTGCTTTATGTTTCTGAGAAAACATGCTTGATATGCTTCCTTTTCCATGAAAATGATAAGAATTTTGATTTATCATACCAAAAACACTTTTAGATATTTTTGATTGTTATTATTGAATGCTACCACAAAGGACACAATCATATAGAAATACTTTTATCAGTTTGTTCCTAATCGATCTTGTGCATGAACCAACAGAACGGTGTGTATGATAAAGTGCGTTTGATAGAGGGGCAAATAAATAAAAGTAGTTTCTAAAGCCGAATCATGTGTTAAATTGACACGAGAAGGGGAGAAATTGTTATAGCATTAAAAAACCTTAGATATTTTAGTACCCTTTTTTTAGAGAGCGCCTTTACTCGTGGTCGTCTGGTTGCTGTAGCTTTTTTTCACATCATTTTCCTTATTTACCCATTTGTGGAACGTCTAGTAAGCGTAATAATAAGGGTATGATATGTATTATTTAGCTATTTCCTGGTTATTATTCTCTAAATAACTCCTTTTGCTCATGGTGACCGGTAATTGTTCAGCTATAAATAAATGATCTTCAAAAAAATTGTAATGGAGGCAAAATATGATATGCAAAGCTGAATTGTTCATATCCTCCCCCCCCTTTTTTTTTCGCTATATCATATCTCTCTTCTATAGGTTTATATCTTAACTAGTTTTGGCGAAGCCTTTTTCCCCTATTTTTTTGCCCTAAAAAAAATTCCGAGATTAAAAAAGCAAATTGTGGCACGGGTCTCTAATTCACCGCTGTGAAAATTGAAATACAAACTCCTTTTATACCCTGCGCATCATGGTTGAGGTCCCGCGCAATTTTCGTCTTCTAGAGGAACTTGAGGCGGGTGAAAAGGGCACCGGGCTGAACCAAAATGTTTCAGTTGGTCTGTGCAATACGGACGACATCTACTTCCATTATTGGAATGGAACCATAGTGGGACCACCCGGCACGACTTTTGAGTATCGCATCCTTTTGCTAGAGATCCACTGCGACGAGACCTATCCCAAAGCCCCACCGCATATTCGTTTTATGAGCAAAGTAAACCTGCCATGCGTCGATTCCAACGGTACGGTGAACTCCAAGTTTCATATCTTCTGTAATTGGGATCAGTGCACAACAATGGAGATGTGCCTTGCGGAGCTACGCAAAGAGATGCTGCAACCAGCAAATCGTAAGCTTCCACAGCCGGAGGAGGGCTCGGTCTACTAGGCTTTTCAGATGTATGAATTGGACTTGGGGAAGAGGTGGCAGAGGGATCATGAAGAGAGAAGACATTTAAATCTTTGAGTTGCTGATTAGTTGCAATTGTGGGAATGATGGGGTGCGACGTGAGAGGGTTGATTCTTATTTTCACATCTCAGAACGGTTATTTTATGTGTACACAAGATCAGCAGTGGACGTGCAAAAAAATAATAACAACTCAATTAGTAGTGTGGTTGAAAGGGATAAACTATTTTTCTATGCTTTCTGCAGACGTAAAAATATTCAGTAAATTTTCACGTCCATACTTCTCTGAACTTGTTTTATTAGAGATATCTGTTAAGAATTAAGACTTCAGCGCATTTCCTAAAGAATTTTTTGTGTTATTAATTCTCAGTTATTAAGAAACTGTGTGTATTGGATCTATGTCGATGTGTTGTTGTTGTTTTTCTTTTATACAAAATCTAATTAATGTGTTGGGATATTTGTCTTGTGAATTCTTTTTGCATTATTATTATTATTATTTTCCCCGACAGAATTAAGATTTCTACATTTTGGTTTAAAAAGTACCTTTATACGTTATTTTCCTTCAGATTTTTAAGGTTAAAAAATAGGCAGACTATTTAAACAAACACTTCATATTTCATCTGATTTATATAGTATGTAGGTAATTTTTATTACACCTGGACGGTTCCTATAATGAATTGTATGAAAGACAATATGTCGTTCCATTAATTTACGGGACTCCAGAATGACTTCTGTTGAAGGATCGGTTACGACTTGTCACAAAAAAAAATAACTCAGCGTGTAGCTAAATTCATTACTTCATTTATTTACGGAAGCATTATATCCAATTGCTCTTCCTTTAATGCATAAGGGTTGAACCATTTTTCAGTTTTTCTAAACCTTATTCTAGATCTCAACATATATATTTACTTAGATTTAATTTAAAGTTCTTTCCTTAAACTACTATGTTTCCATCAAGCGCATGGGCATAAAAGTTTTTTTGACTTGCTATCTGTTTAGACATTCAAAATACAAGCCAATATGTCTCCATACCTTTTGTTGATATAATAAATCTGTGATTAGTTCCCTTGTTCTATCCTTGTTTATATTTTTCTAGCGAGTTCTACTGAAGTAGCATTTGTGCTTTTAAGACGTTATTTCTATTATTGGAGTGAGTGCATCTCGAGAATTTTATGCATTCCAAAGGTTTTGTGCTGGGTCTTCGTTCCTTAAGGTCTATATGAAATGATATTTGTGCAAAATATGGTAGTTGAAGTGATCTAAATGCACATTTCATTAATAAGTATGCAAGTATTAAACTTAGTGCATATCCTCAAGGCCTGTTTTTCTTACATTTTTTTAACCTTTCAGTGCTTGTGTGCTGCATGATATTTTTCCACTCAATTACGCCTTTTCTTGACGTTTGTCCCGAGATACCCGTTTGTTTGTCTATCTGAATGATTTTTTATCTCAAATAACCAATCCCTTATACTAAAATTACTATCTTTTCCACTGGTGGTAACGTTTTTTTCATTTAGCAAGCAAAAGATAAATACCCATAACTTGAAGCCCATTATAATATCACTATGCCTTTTTATTATTACCTAAAGTCCCCAGAAAAATGTTATTAATGAGGTCAAATTCATTTCTACATATGCGTAGCATATATCTCAAAATTTTTTTTCATCCCTTCTTTACACTTTGAAGGCCCATGAGGAAAGTCATATTATATGTTGATATTGTATTTTTGATTTCACTTGGAAATTGCTCAACATATATATTTTGCACCTGATGTTTCTTCTTCGCAATTAGCACTTTCACCGTCTTTCTTTTTTAATTATAAGGATATTCATTTTTTTAATTCCATAAAACTCGATATTCTTATTTTTATTTCATGTTGTTTTAGAATCTTTTTTCTTTACAATGGATCAGAAACAAATGCACAAGCTTCTCCTTATGGGGCCAGGTGGTGCAGGGAAAACCTGTATGCGTAGCATTATTTTTGACAATTACCTACCTCGTGATGCATTACGTTTGGGAATTACGATTTCATTGGATCAGAGCCAAGTACATATTTTGCGTAACCTTTTTCTCAACTTGTGGGACTGTGGTGGGCAGCATCGCTACGTTTCGGAGTACCTCAATCGCCAAAAGGAGTACATCTTCCGCTCGGTTGCGGTGATGTTGTTTGTGTTTGATATCAATAGTATGAGCAGAGATAGCAGTGGTGCGGGTGAGAGATTTGTGTCGGGTACGGCGAACAGCAGTAGCTCTAACATGGATTGGAAACTTCCGGAGATGTTAGAATACTTTCAGATGTCTATGCGGTACATAAAGCAGTACAGCCCACAAGCCAAGGTTTTTGTCTTCCTACATAAGATCGATCTTATAAACAAGAACATGCGTGAGCGTATTTTCGAAATGCACAAGCAAAAGATATTAAGTAGTATTGACTCAGATGGATCTGATATACAGTTTTTTGCAACCAGTATCTGGTTGCCTTCACTCTACTTGGCGTACAGCTCGGTTGTACGCTCCTTAATCCCTCATCGCGAAGTGCTGATTGAGGCAATGCGTTCTATAGCAATGGCTTGTAATGCTATCGAGGTAGCTCTCTATGAGCGCAGCACTTTTTTATGCCTGGCGCACATCAGCCGACATGGCTTAGATAAGACATCACACACCCCTGTCTCCGCTGAGCTTCGCACCACTGAGGTAAGTGATATCATTAAACACTTCAAGCTGAGTTGTATGAACAACACAGCCAATCTGTGCGGGTTGCAGATCGCTACTGGAGAGTTGATGGCTTTGTTAGTTCCATTCACTGATTATACACAAGTTCTTGTGGTATCTGAGGACCCGAGCGTTAATGTCGAGCAACACCAACTGAACGTTACCTCTGCGAGGCGCCAGTTTCATGAATTCTTGAACTCTGATGCGCCATCCGCTGTGGCTATGCATGAGGTTCTGTGATTTAACAAAAAAATCCATACTAAACATCTAGTGCACTGGAAAATGAAAGCGAAACTCTTTTCCAATTTTCCCATTTTTAATAAATCCAAATACAATCGTTGCGTTTTTGTTTTGTGTACACAATGTGCAATGACGCTATTTCATCTCTATAGGTATTTGACGAACTATCTGGAGGAAGGGTAAATCTATCTGTAGTGGGTTTTTGAGCAAAACATTACATGCTTTTTCCGATCCCGTTTCTTGCCTCTCATTGCATCATATACACACACCTAACACTGGAATCTTGTACTATTGGATTAGATGGGTAAAACTTTACTATTTAGTTCCATTTTTTTTTCCTATCAATAGCATTTTTTATTTACACGATATTGCTCCAATTCATAGGAGAATCTGGTGGAATTGAGCCTGTATATAAGCATGTATTTTTTTCTCTTTTGATACCTATGCATATTCATTTTATTATTTATTTAATTTTATTATCTTCTAATCAAACCAACTTCCCTATTTAGTCGGTAAGGTTGCAACTTCACCTAGAAGTTTTTCTTATTCTGTGTTAGTGCTGTCATAAATGAAGCAGACCGTATTGCCTTCCACGGCTACAGGGCATGGAGTGACGGGCCCTTCTTTAGTATCTTTGGGTTACCATGAGAAATATTTAGCGTTTGTCGTATCCTCGAGCCTCTTGGCGGTAACCGAATGCAGCGGGAAGCTAAATTACTTGATGTCTGACTCATCGACAGTCTTTTGCATGGTTGAGGATCTCACTTCGGAGGTCATATCTGTGGTGCGCGTACACGATGAAAAGGACCTGCTTCTCGTTGGAACAGAGGGACATGGGGTTTACTTGACCACTGTCACGTCACCTGTACTATCCCATGCAACTCGTTTGCCGCTCCAGTACACTGGTGAGCAGATATTTAGTGCTTCTTTCTTGTCCGTTCCCGCTTCACAGCTTTTCAGTCCCAAAGCCATTGAACTCTATTCCAAAACTGAGGATCTTGTTGTGCTTTCCTCCGCCTTCATGAAGCACCACGAGACGTCACCACATCGTTTGTCCTTGTGGCATGTTCGGGATGGTGGTTTGATTTGGCGGGGCCCGATGGAGCCGATGAGGGCGATTTGTACATTCCCGCGGGTGCCTTCCTTCGCGGGGTGCACGCGAACGACGCTGTCATTGTTCACCCTTCGCCGTGCGGAGGCCCACACCCTGGATCCTGATACGGCGGCCGCGGGGTCATCCACCCTGGACAGGGACGCTCAGCCCGGAAGAAAGGGCGGCGGGGGCCTGACCCTTTTAAACCGCCTTTGTGATACTGTTGAGGTACTGAGGGGGGTCGAGTACGTGCACTGTGCATCGTGCAATGACTCGAAGGAATTCTCCTTCCTTGCGCTAACAGCTACGGGTTTTTTGGTAGCTTTTGATCGCTTTACCGGCGCGATCATCCGATGGATGGATTGCAAAGTCAGCGCCGCAAGTTCGGTGTCTTTCGCCGGGAAAGGAAATTACATCCTCCTCGCCGGCGCTTTCGCTCGCTTCTTTCTCTCAAAAAATTGGTCGTTCTGTGGGAAGGTCAAGGTGGAAAGTACTACCTCGTTTGGCCTCTTTCCAGAGCCACATTTTACTGCAGGGCTGTCTGTTGGCTCGTGTGCAATCCTTTTTTCGAGTCGCAATGGTCATTCTATCCAGCATTTTGTTCAGTCCTCAACAGCACCAACGACTATCACTGGCGGTACGATCGGCACCAACGTCTCCCTTTCTGGAACTAGAGAACTGGCCACTGGCAGCGATCAGCACCAAGGGCATAAACTACGGTTTCACCAAAAGTCTTTTTGTTGCCCTGTGGGAGCAGACGAATTCGAAGGAGAACTTAAGGTGCAATGGATCCGACCAACACCCTCTCCTTCGCCTCATGGAACATGGTGTTTATGGACTCGAAAGTGCCTCCGTCTGTACTCACCGAAGCAATTTTTGCGTAAGCAAATTTCGGTAAATAGCACCTGTGCTGTTTACCATCCCGTAAGTCGTGTACTCCTTACTTATGAACTGGACGACGCCGGGCTGGTGGCTTATTCCGGAGTCAATGAGTGGCGTCTGGCTGCCACTCTTCCACAGACTGAACATCTCAGCAGCTTATGCGCAAGTGACACCACCGATCTCTGTGCAGGGTATTGTCTTGATAATTACACTGTTTACGCCTTCAGTTGTTGTTGGAAATCCTCACCTAATGATGCACATAGTACACTTGATTTAGTGCCATTATGGATTAGACCTTTCAATCTTACACGCGGTCCTTTAAACCAAATTTTTTTTCTAGGGAGTCAGCTGTACGGTAACACTGACTACACGTTAGTTGAACTTGAAGGCGGAAGACTCCATACTTTCGATAACCCAATCCTTTCATTGTGCGTGGTGGGTACGGATGTTCTGATTATTTGTGCCGACAGTTGCATGTACTACATTCCTGACAGAGGATCCCTTAAGTCGCTCAATTTTTCTTTGTCGTCCCCCCCGACCTGCGTAACCTATGAACCAATCTTTGGTTTGGTGGCTATAAGTGATACACATAGTGTACACATTATGCACCTCGGCGACGCGTCACCTTTTTGGGAAGTTAAGCATTGGTTAGAGAATCAACAAAAACCTCCTGAAGTTGGAATCATTCGCGCTTTTGCACTCCGTGTCGACTCCATGCACGTTGTGTTGAGTATATTGGATACCCATGGAAACCTGGTCGAGTATACCCTCAAAGCGAATGAACTCTCACACAGTTCACGTTTTCATGCCTTGCGGATGGTAGCGCGGTCCTTTCGGAGTGGGAATTTTATGGACCAGATAAACGGCAAGGATCAAACAACTGGCAGTCGAGGTGCTCGAGTCAGGGCTGTTTCTGAGGGCACACCATCCAACCGCGAGCTGAAGGATCGATTTGATGCCCTTTCTGGTTTCTTTGCAGAACATAAAAAGCAGCGTATAACCTCCGGCCGCGCACGCAGCCAAACGTTGCGTTGCAGAACACCTTCAGCTGCTTCTCACCCGACGCGAAACGCAGAACACCCAGCGCCACCCAGTGATGTCAGTATTACAGGTGAGCCGGTAATCAAAACTCCCCACACGGGTCTTGATGTGTTGGTTCCTGAAGGCGAGTTGTCTGGGGATGACCGACCAAATACCGTATCTAGTGTGAGTAAGGGAATCACGCCGAATGTTGGCCTCCTATCACCTAGACCTGGTACTACCTCCGAAGATATTATCATGAAAACTCCAACAAGGCTCCTCAATCAAGATACTAAGGAGTCGGCAGTCTCGGTGTCGGCGGTGTCGGTGTCAGCAATGATGGACGTCTCCGCACTTACCCTTCCAACCGGTTCGCATGAAATGAAGGGAAACACAATGCTTGAGATGGGGTTGGACCCGATCGGCTTTACTGATCTCCTGTCCCACCGCAGTCCTTCCATCCTGTCTCGAAACGCCGCCCGCACTCAAATGAATTCCGATGCGGCGCAGTTCAATGCTATTGTGTCTGCCGAGGATACTATCGACAGCAGCTTCACAAACTTTACCATCCCGTGTTCACGTCCTATACTTTCCGACGCAGCTATACAACCTCAAGCCAAACATCAGGAAACGACATCCGGTTCTTTTTCTTCTACCTCTACATCGAAACTTTCAGAGTATACGCGTCAGTTGCGTGAATCTCTAAAGCATTTCAAGAATATCCTAGATCAACCTGATCTGCGCTTTGATGCGGAGGATGACGCGGAGCTTAGCAAACTTTCATCCCTTTTTAGCGTTATAGCGACCACGGTGAAATCATGTCGAGATCGGCAATCCATTGATACGTCCGAGAGCAGTTTGTTCAACCCTATTGACAATGCGCTACCCAAGAACTATTCTATGATGCTTTTAAACCAGCTGCAGCTCATTCAGCAGCAAAATAAACATCTAGAGCATCAAAACCAAATCATACTAGAAAAGTTGTCCGGAAAAAAATGAAATAATCAGCTTATTGCTTTTAGAACATAATGTTGCAAATTCTTTCATCAAATCATATTTTATTATATTTTCTTTGTCCCTACAAGTACAACACAAGTACTTGTTGCTTCAAGAGATTCCCTTTTAGACACTTGTGTATTTCTGACTGCGTCGGTATTCATTTCAAATAAATACTTACTACTTGCCACCTCAACACCGTCCTTTAGTATTACTACTAGTAGTAGTAATATATTTTTTATCTCTTAAGCTTTGAATGAGTTTGTAACGCAAGCCCAACCAAGATGTCTTTGATATTTGTATCGAATTTACCAAAGGAGGATTCGATCGAATTTATTCAGGAATTTCTTGAGGCCTCGTTTCCTTCCCGGACATCCATCAGAATACTGCGCAGTGGGCAGGGACACAAGGGACACGCGTACGTTCACTTCAGCGACGAGAGGGCGGCGCAGACGGCCGCTGAGCCGTACACCGTTGTGCATAGGAGTGGGACTGGTAAAGAGTCAGTCACGCCATTAATATACAAAGACGGCCGAACGGAGCTGCGACTTCGAGTTTGCGGGGACCGAGGTGTGCTGAAAAACGAGAATGTAGATGAAGGAACACGGCCTCCTGTGCCCTTTTCCACACCCAACGCTCTTATCGCCGCAATAGAGGGTATGCCTTTACCTCCCCATTGTGCGGATATTGTGACATACAAGCGGTGCCGCTATGTTCTCGCACCATCTTCTGATAAAGAGGAGAGTATTGTCAAGGAAGATAATAAGAATCACCTTTTGATGATGCATCGGATTACCACAGTAGAGGAAGATTTATACCCCGCAAAGATTTGCGTTGCCCTTGTGTCTGATGACGAAGAAAATAAACCTGAGGAAGGTCACTTCATCGATGTTTCGGTTTCCCGTTGTGGTCCGCCATCGCTGAAGGCGCTGATTAGACCAGCATGTGGGCTCAGGGAGCAAATTCGGTTCAGTGAAGGGTGGTGTGTAGAAAAAGATCAACCACGAAGACCGAGACATGAAGTTGATGCCGAAGAAGCAGAATCGATCTTAGACACGAGTGGGGGATACTTTCAGGGAAACGAGCACGCACCTCAACCGAAGCCGGAATTAGAGTCGGAGATGAAGTGCATGCAGGGCTGTAGTTGGTTATCGCCCTCAGAAACGCTCGATGAATTACGATCATTTTTTGATGGGGAGGGACGTGTGGCGGTCAAGGATAGATATGGGTCTGTCACGGTGATGAACCTTCCAGCATATGTTGCGTCATTAGAGTAAGAGGCCTATAGTGTTCATTCTTCCCCCCTCCCCCCCCTCCCTTTGCAACGCACATAAGGAAAAACGTTCAGAGGAAATAATTAAAAAAGGAGATGAAGGTGTAGTGAATGGATTGTTCATTTCTTTAATTTTATTATTTAGATCAATAATATACTCTTTCTTGTTCCACTTTGGTATTTTTATATATTTTTTTTTAAATTAATTTTATAAAAAAAGTTAACCTTGCGTGAAAAGGATATCATTTAGCTATTTTGATCATTATTTAGTTGTTTGTTCAAAGCATTAAATCCATAACACCTAAAATACCACATACACATATAAATATATATATAAATATATATCTATGCATATATAACATTTGTTCAACTTTTGTACCATAAGCATTGCACGGATAGTAAAAATCCAATTTAATAGCTTTAGGCGTACAATAAATTCCGAAATGCAAGGGTATAATGAACAAAAATTGTCTCGCAAAATGTTGAGAAGGTACCGTTTCTTGCCAAATTTTTTCAGCCCGAAATCTCACAGAGCCTTCAAATACGATAGTTTTGAAGAGGAAGTCGAAGATGAGGTTATTGTTTTTATGAATGACCCGGCAAAAAACAAGGAATTCAAATATCCTACGAATTTTATATCCACTTCAAAGTATACATATTGGTCGTTTTTGCCTGTCGGACTCTTTTACCAATTTACTAATATTAGTAACTTTTATTTTCTCATTCACGTGATATTTTCACTAATACCAGGTGTATCCCCAATTACCCCGATAACTTCCATTTTGCCATTAATGTTTGTGCTTTCAGTGGCACTTTGTAGGGAGGGTGTAGAGGACGTCTTTCGACATCAGGCGGACAAACGAGTTAATTCCTTGGTTGTTGATGTCATACGAGGAGGAATGATCGTCTCAATACCTAGCTTCAGCGTGGTTCCGGGTGATATCGTTAGGATCAGCAATGGCGACGAGATCGCAGCTGATATGATTCTCCTTTCTTCCTCCATGGATGAAGGTCAAGCCTTTATTGACACATGTAACTTAGACGGTGAAACCAACCTAAAAAGTCGCAAAGCTCTAGAGGCTACTTGGAATCTAACGAGTGTGGAGGAGTTCACAAAGAACTCCGCTGTTCTTTACACAACTCCGCCGGATTCCGGTCTTTTGTCATGGATGGGAGTGATTAACTTAAACGGGACTGAGAACTCTATGTCATTAGAACAATTTCTCTACAGAGGTTGTATACTGAAAAACACAGAGTGGGCATGGGGTATGGTGGTCTACACTGGTGTGAACACCAAACTGTTTAAAAATCTGAAGAAAAAGCCTTTTAAGTCATCAAGTCTCAAACGTAAGATGGACCTGATTATTCTAATAATTTTTATTATGCAGAATATTATCCTATTCACGTTCTGCATTATGGCATATCGTTGGTACTCTAAACGAACCCATGTCTGGTACTTATCTTTCTACCTTCCTCATGGCACTATGCTCAAGTACATTTGCTTTCGCTATTTGACCTACATTATTTTGCTGAGTTATCTTATCCCTATCTCACTTTTTGTGACAATTGACTTGTGCAAGGTCGTTCAGGCCTACTGGATGCGAGTGGACTATGCCATGATGGAATGCATTGATGGAAAAATCAGAGGTTGCAGAGTTAACACTTCCAACCTTAACGAGCAGTTAGCTTTGGTTAAGTTTATCTTCACCGACAAGACTGGAACCCTTACGGAAAATGTCATGCAATTTAAGTGCGGTGACGCTCTTGGCGTTAGTATTGGCAGTGATAACTTAAATAGAATATTTGCTGAGCTAGATCCTTTTAGTTCGGAATATTCGGCAGTTTATGAGTACTTTCTGTCATTGGCGTTGTGTAACACTATCCACATTTTCAAGACTGAGGACAAACCTCTTGAAGTCAGATATGGGGGTCCATCCACAGATGAAAAAGCATTGGTAGAGGCTGCTGCTGAGGCAGGCTTTCGAATGGTTCATCGTACCATCCGGTGTATCACGTTGGAAATTGGGGCAAGGAAAAGGGAGTTTAACATTCTCGCTACGCTAGAGTTCACACCCGAGCGTAAGATGATGAGCATCATTGTTGAAGATGCATTGACCGGTAAAATAACTTTATTTAATAAAGGCGCTGATAGTTTTGTTAAACCTCAACTTAGTCATATGGCGCATGTTCAGGATAATTTTGAGAAGGCGGAGATCGCACTAAACAATGCAGCCTCGATGGGTCTTCGAACGCTTTTGGTGAGTGCTAGGGATTTGAGCCTTAAGGAATTCGAGAGGTGGCACAAACGGTACGAGGAGGCGAGCAAATTGTTACAAAACCGTAGCGAGGCAGTTGACAGTGTTTGTTTGGAGATCGAGCGGGATATGCGATTGATTGGCATGACGGCCATCGAAGATCGTTTGCAGGATGAGGTACCGGAGACACTATCCTTTTTCCTCAAGGCAGGGGTGTTGATTTGGATGCTGACCGGAGATAGACGTGAGACAGCTGTCGCGGTTCAGGCAACCACCACTTTGTTGGACCCTCGAAACGACTTTATCGACCACATTGACATTGGCTCCCTTGACCCCTCACAACCTGAAGCAAGGAACAAAGTGCGTGCTGATTTGAAGGTTATAGAAATGCATCAGAAAATGAAGGGTAAATTTCCAGGGAAGCGCTGTACCTTCGTGGTGGACGGCGTAGCCTTGACAATAGCTATGAAACACCACTATCAGTTATTTTTGCATGTTTCTCAGATAGCTGACTCCGCTATATGTTGCCGGCTTACACCTTTACAGAAGGCAAGTGTTGTGCGCATGTTCCAGAAAGAGACCGGGATGACGGCTCTAGCCATTGGCGATGGTGTTAACGACGTGGCCATGCTCCAGGAAGGACGTGTGGGGGTTGGCATTATTGGGTTGGAGGGGGTACAGGCCGCTTTAGAGTCTGATTATGCGATTCCTCGTTTCAAGCACCTGCGTCGGCTCTGTGCAGTTCACGGGCGGTATGCGCTCGTGCGCAACTCTAGTTGCATCTTTACAAGTTACTATAAAAATTTCACTTTAGCCATCCTTCAAGTCATATTCGCCTTCTATACTGGGTTCTCAGGGATGTCGCTATTCGACGGATGGCTTTTGATCCTTTATAATATAGCACTTACTGCCTTACCACCATTTCTTTTGGGAATTCTTGAAAAGGATCTGCCCGAGAAAATTTTGCTAAATGAACCGATTCTTTTCTCTTCATTGGTGCGTGGCCAGTATTTCAACATTAGGATACTGTTATCATGGATAGTAGAAGCACTTGTTCTGGCATTTCTTATTTTTTACACAGCTTATCCCATTCTGCACTCATCTATTGGGGGTCGCACAATTTTTATAACTGGATCTGTCGGTAGTGCTATGATTTATATGGGATTAATTTTCTGCGTGTTAATGCGCTTCACCCTTAGCATTCGCTATTGGAACTCCATTCAAGCTTTTGGTATATTGTTTTCATTTGGATTCACTATAGTGATCATTATCATTTATTCAGGGATTCCAATTCTGTTTGATTCTCCGACAGTGTACTGGTGTATATACAACTTAGCAAGTAGTGCAGTTTTTTGGGGCTATCTTTTGCTATGGATCAGTATTTTGACAGGTGTATTGCTGAGTATTTTCCACTACAAGAAGCGTTTTTTTCGAAACACATATGGATCCTGTTGCTTTTGAATCTAGAAGAAATCATGGAAGACTTTAAAATAGAAGTCGCTGCGCATATTCAATAATAAAAAACTGAAATTCAAAATCGGCAGTTTAAGTAGTCGAAAGGAAAAGGAACAGACAGGTGAGCAAAGACTCAGCACCTTTTTGTTGTCGTATTTCACAATGTATAAAACTATACGTTGAGAATCCTTATTTCCTTTATTAATTGTGACTGTTAATATTGTTTTTTAATAAATACTAAATTATTTAATTGCCAAAATATGCAAATCTATATATATCTCGATCAATGTATATAAATTTGCTCATGTATATTTCAATTGAGTCATCAAGTTGATCCTATTTTATTACAATAATTGCTATTATTTAGTTTCGGATTGACACATGCAACATTTTAAATACTTTATAACACTACAATAGGTTAAACTTTTATCGTTTATTTGGATCCAGGTTATACCAAAAGCGAATAGGTTTACTTCCAGACTATTGAGGAACATAATTTAGCCTTCTTTTTATAAGGGTTTGTTGTATACATTCATGAATGCGTAATAGCAAAACTTGTATAAAATGTGATCTTCAATGTTTTATAATGATAATTTATTGTTGCAACATCTTGAATCTTTAGATTAATTTTCTAATAGCTTTTCTTAATTGATAAATTCTAATTCTTAAATTTGACCCATGGTATTTTTATTTCTCTTTTTAATTCATAAGTTGCTCATTTTTTTTCTGAATTGACTCTCTCGAAATCCTCATAATTACAATAATTGTGGACAGAAATTTTTAGATGTGATTAGAGATTTTTTTTTAAAAAAAGGCTATTTTAAATATATATATATATATTATATATATATTTACATTATTCAGCAAATGGGTAATAAAGTTAATAGGTGCATAGTCATATATATATATATATATATATGGATTCATTTCCTGTTTACTGTACCATGAATAGTCTGATTACCTTGAAACCAATCCCATGAAATAATTATTTAGCCCTTTTCACTATCAAAAGTATTTACGAGTGTTATATTAGTAGTAAGGAAACCAAACAACTACAGACAATAGGTCAATACACATGAGATTTTCTGTTTACTCTATTTTTTCCACAGTAGTGCTAATACTGAATGCACTAGCTATTCTCTCTGAAAAGCGTTTTCTTGTCAAGTTCGGACTCTGCGCTCATCAAGCACTTTATCAGCAATCACAGCCTCCAAAATCTGCATTGTTATCAGACCCAAACTCCCAAATTACTACAGGTTTTTTGTTCGATCCTAGAGAATCCGCTGAGAATCGTAATAATTTCATCAATGATATCAATTCAATCCAATCACCAGGAGACACCAAACTGCAAATTTCTACTCTCTTGAATTCTATACGAACTTTGCTTCGATGGCCTCTTATCTTCGCAAATATTGTACTCATTGTGTTTGCTTTTATAATGGGATAAACCATTTTTTATTCCGCTTCATATTGTTTTGGATCATGCCGTTATAGGTTTGTTTACTTATGAATATGCACTCATGCGTGACGTGGGATTAGGGTATACATTTGATCTAATAAAAATAGATTCCCTTTTTGTATAGTCACTCAAGTGTTTTGAGGGCCGCGCACTTTGGTCAGGTTGTCTCTCATCATACCGTTAATAATTGTATAGACTGATTCATCATGGTGTTTGAATAGAGAAGGCTCAGGTTAGTCATCTCATGGAGAGTAAACACATTATAAAATTTTATGGGCTTATAATGGTTTTTTTTTTCATTATTCTTACTTACCTATTCAAATTGGCTTCTTATTTTATTATTATTTCATTTTTATACTCTACACAATGAGTTCTTCCTCAAGCAACTATAATTTATTCAATCACCTTATGTCAGTCTGGTCTTATGAGCGTGACCACCAGCAAGTTCTGAGTGATCTTATTGATCTTCAGAATGAGGATGCTTATGTAAGCTCGCTTTCCCTTCCCGAGGAAGCGAAGCTCTGCAATGAGCACGTCAAACGAAATTGGTTGTCTTTGTACGTTCGTTATTTGTCAGTCGCCAAGCGCCTCGAAGCTCGAAATAACACTGAGTTACAAGCGCAAAAGATATCTGATGTGCGAACGCTGCTGAACTGTAGTCTAGGCCGTTTGCTAGAGATCAAGGAAGTGATTGTGAAGCACTGCGGCAATTTTCTCCCCATAGATGATACTTTGTTGGACCTAAAAATGACCCCGGACGAGGTCGAACCGCCCATTTGTTCCTATTTTCTAGAGGATCGTGAGGAGGAACTTCGTGAGCGGCGTAGTTTCATTGCCTCACTGCAAGCCCACTTCATGGAGACCGACAACGATGCCCCCGTCTCGGAGGCCCAGCGGCACCCTCAGGCGCTTGTGGACCCTTCCAAAGCCGTCGCCGCCTTCGTCTCTGGAAAGCTTCAGGTCGAGAAGGATCGGCCCTCCGTGTCGGCCTCCACGACGGTCTCCAGCACTGACGTGAAGCCGCCTTTTACCCTGGATGAGGCTGTCCTCATCCTGCAGACCTGCGAGCGCGGGCGCCAGGCCCGCCGACGGGCAACCTTCCAGCTCGCGTTGCACCATCGCGAGCGACACCTCGCGCAGCACGGCAACGAGTTCAACACCATCACCGGCAAGGACCGCGCGGCCGCCGTGGTACAGCGCATCGTCCTGGGCTACCTTGAGCGAAAGCAAGCAAAACAACGATATGAGGCGGAAAGAGAGTTCCTAGGCTTGGTGCCCACGGAAGAGATACGCAGTAATAGAGAAGCAGCAATGGCGGCGGTTCATGTGCAAGAGAACAAGCTACGTCAGCGGATGAATATAGTAGAGCTCCGTCAAAAGGCACAAAATATTGAGCATAATATCAAATACAAGGAAGGCCCTAAAACGATAGAAGAGATGCTGGATGAGATCCTTATGCATATGGCTTACCTTAGTATGGAGAGTAAGGGTGATCCTTCGGAAGCGGCTACAGCGCTCCTGGAGTTTCCATCCCCCCAGGAAGGGGGCAGCCTCAAATTGCTAGAGCGGATGCCAACCACGTCGAAGGACCCCGCAGCGGGGGTTGGCGGCCGGAGGGGCCAAGCAGCGGCCCGCAGGCCGCCCAGCAGTGCGCCTGCCGCCGACACCGCTCCCCCCAGGCCTTCGTTGGTGAACAACGGTCGATCGGCTTCGCGTGTGGGAAGTGTGGGGCGTGAAAGTCGAAACGGCAGCACCGTTCTCATGAAACCGCAGCTAAAAGGCTCAGAGGGGGATACACAGAGTGGTGAGATGATGGGGTCTTGCTTTTGGAAACAAATAAAAGAAACCGAAGAACGCTACCAAAACGTCTGGTTACCACATTACCATCGACATTGCCTCGAAGAGGGGGACCTAAACCGTCAGGTTGATGAGGTAATGCTAAAGCAGGAGCTGCTAGAAGGACCTCACGGTATCTTGTCGGAGCTTCGGAACTGTGTGGACGAATTGGTGATGATAGAGGTACAAAACTTACAGGAAAAAATGAAGAGCGAAAAGAACTCCAAGAAAAAAGGGAAGAAGACAGCAAAAACGAAAAAGATGAAACTGAAAGACCCGACTAAAGGAGTCAATTTGGAGACCGCCATCAACACCGTTGTGTACGAGAACAAGTGGCAGCTAGTACCTGTAGAGGTACGACTACGAAGTTTTGTCGGTTCTGACAACCTCATGTCCAATCCATATGGTCAAATGTTGCGCCAGCAACGTCCAGATGAAGAAATCACAAAGAAATGGCAGAGAATTTTGCGCAATTGGAACGAGTCAGTCGAGAAGGCGATGGGGGGAATAAAAAAGGAGGCGTTTGAAAAGCTTTTTCAGGCCTACATAGATCAATCAACATGGTTGAAGGAACCATCCTCTGCACAAATCCGGCGCGCAGTAGCGGAGTACGGGATACTGCCGCTTGGGTCTCAGATACGTCATGACCTCGTGCCACATAAGGATGCGCTTCTTTTCTATGGGGTTTCTGCCTCTGGAAAAACGATGATGGCGTATGCTATGTGCAACGAAGCAGGAGCAAATTTTTTTAACCTCTCTCCCTCCAATTTCAGCTCAGTCAAGGGCATTCCCAAAATAATACAATTAGTTTTTTATGTTGCCCGCATGAAGGGGCCTTCGATAATCTACATTGATAACATCGAAAAGGTGTTTCCTAGTAAGAAAAATGGCAAAAAAAAAAGGACCCACTAACCCTGCGTGGTAAAAATATTAAAAAAGAAATTGTAAAAGGATTAAACACTCTGCAACCATCAGATCGTGTTCTGCTTGTTGCCGCAACGTGTGAGCCATGGATGGCAGATAAGGATGCTTTGATGAATGTCTTTCCTTATGCGGTATGGTTCCCGTCGCCGGATTACGACACTCGCATGTCTCTTCTCCAGCATTTTGTCATTAGCAAAATTCCTCCTGGGCAAGAAGGAGAAGCATCAACTACAGATGTGCATTCACCATTTTTGTATGAACAGTTAGCGCTTCTCACGGAAGGCTGGACAACTGGGCAGCTAAAGAGGATAGTAGAACGAACACTTTCTGAGCGTCGTATTGAACAACTTCTACAGCGTCCATTACAAGCAAGCGATTTCGTAATAGCATTAGCAGAGGAAAAAGCACTATCAGAAGGGGAAGTGAAAAAAATGATAGAGTTTCATAACTCTCTTCCTTTTACCATGCGTCGTGCCAACCCGCCGGAAGATTTTCCCGCAGACGAAACGGGTGCTGGAAAATCAAGGAAATCAACCTCGAAAAAGGTTAAAAAATGATAAGGTCCGATTGCTACCTTAAAAAAAAAAAGCAGGACATCTTTCAAAGCTAAAATTACTCCATACTAAGAAAAATGTTTATTCAGAGTGATCTCACTCATATTCAATGTAAATCAGTACTTTTGATTATATATAATTACCTTATTTGCAAGTCCAAGCAGGGCAGTGCTCTATGTTAGCGAGTCATGCAATAAGAACGGGGATTTAAAAAGGAAGAGAAATGGTTCTCCATCTTCATGAACGAAATTTCAAAAATGAGCGAAAAACCCTTCTCTCTATACCTTTCTTCCATCTCTAGTTCTTGTTGGTTTAGAGTAACAGGAGGCATCTTGTCGGATATGAACGTTACAGTGCACTCACATGATGAAATTATTAATATGTTTCCTGTCAGCCTGAGATAAATACGTTTATGAAGACACATCTTCAACTCAGCTCACACTGATCTGTGCAATTGTGCGTTTTGCATGTGTGTATGTGTATGTTTGATTCAAGAGGAATGGAGAGAGAACCTTTGCGGGGTGCAATATGCAAGGATGGACAATCGTATGTTGGTCCAAACAGTTTGACCGATATTAACATGATACGTAAACATAAACAATCACCTTTCGTCTGAGCAAAGTCCGACCCCGCATGCATGTGTGTGTGTGAG